CCAACCCCATCCCCTCTCTGGAACTTACAATCTCATGGTAGGAGTTGGGGGCAAGATATGAAAATAAGCATACACGGTAGAAATATGCAACAACAACAATGAGAGGAAAAGGACCAATCGTGCGGCAGTGGGACGTAACTGTCTGATAAGGTGGTATTTGAACAGGGGGGAAATGGAGCCCACCGATGGGATTGGCAAGAACATCTTCAGGAGATGGGCAGAACTCCTATCTGGGTTCTGTGGGTTTGGAGGGGGGGAGGCCAGTCCTCAAGAACAACTTGAGGTGACGCCGTCGTGACAGCAGGCCGAGGCAAACACGGACAGCAGCTCAAGAGGACACCTGGAAAATGTCTGTCGTGTGCTGGCGTGACAGGGAGTGAAGGCGAGGCTTTTCTTTCTTTCCTCGAATTTTCAGGATTCTTCATCCCATCTCCACTGTGGACTCTGTGATGTGACCTCCCTCCCCTTCTTTCCCCACCCCCCACCCCCCCCCCCCCTCATGGAGAAGGGGCAGAGACCAAGGTTCAGGAGCAGCTGGAACGTGGACGTGAGTTGGAAGAGCAGCGCCTCCTTCCCCAGCCCTCTCCTGTCCACAGAGGGACTTCTGTGCCACCGTCCCCTCCAGTCCGGGCTCACTGTCCGCTACAGAAAGGAAAGCGCGGAAACGCTAATGAAGGAAACGTTCACGGAAAGACAAATGCAGGGACAAAAGCAGGCCCAGTCACAGGCAGGCCAAATACCACCGAGCCCCCACCCGAAAGCCCACATTGTACGCGGGACTTCTTGCCCTTTCTATAGCATTCCTAAGTCACTAAAGAGGGGCTGGGAGCCCATGGAAATGAGCAACGTTTTACTCAGGCCTAAAGCATTCTGGTCCAGGCAGTCGAGAAAAGAAAACAACCTGTGTACTTGCCCGGGCAGGGGGAGCGGAGAGACTACTATTTTTGAGCGAGTCACTTCAGTGTGACAATAATCGCTGCATTGTTCTGATGTTTATCTTAGACTTTGCATGAGTGGATTTTTTCTTTTTTCCCCTGGATGCTAATCCCATTAGAAGTCCGATGGGCTGGCGGCTTGAACCTCTCTGTTCCTTTGTAAAATCTTTCATTGACACGTTGCTTAATATCAGGTGCTACTTCACAGATGACCAGATCGAGTAGCAGAAGCAGGAGAGAAAGAGGGCAAAGACAAAACAAAAGCCTTTTGTCCTGTTGCAAGGCTTTTTCTCTATTCAGAAATGTTTCTCAAAACAGTAGAATAATCAAAAATACATTATGCATTTAGTCGCGTAGCAGGCAAAAAGACTAAGTATGCCAGGCTTATTTCCAAAAGGATCGTTCCACTGGACCCTGCCATCAGAGAGAGAGAGAGAGAGAAATTCTGGGAAAGCCTGTGCACATCGGTCTTTGTTCTCTAAAGGAATGCTTGGAATGGATACCAGGGGCTCTGCCCCAGAGCTCAATGTCTGATCTTAGAAGCTTGGGAGGGTAAGGCCTACAGCCAAGGGGTCTGGTCTGATAGATAGGCCTCTGAACGAAGGGGTCGGCTCTCTGACCCTGTCAAACATTTGGGGAGGGGGGCAAAATAAGTCCTTCTCTGGAGCTTTTTCCAATATCCATTCCTATATGTAGGTGGTTTCTAAGTACCTAATGTATCAGAGTTTTTCCATACACTGCTACAGACAGCCTTATTTTTGAGAAATAGAAAAATGAAGGTTTTCCTAAGTCTGTCCAAAAATAACCATTCCTATGTGTCGTGGAGTAAAGTATCCTTCTTCACAAAAATAACTCTGAATCCTAGTCCATGTGGGGATGTTCTAATCTAAAGCAGGGAGTCTTTAAAAGCTTACAACAAAGACTCTGTTATCTTGAATTCCACTTTTCTATGGACTTTCTGAAGTCCCCCCTCCCCTCCAGCCCCAACCAAGTATATTTCAATGAGTACTTAAAATCACTAAGTAGCCCAAGCGTATAACTGGATCTCAGCAAGAATCACCAGACATGGCTAACCTCCCAAAGAGAGAGGCTGGTGTACCTGGCATGCCTCCTGTTGGAAGCACACTCCGTGGAGTCTCTGGATCCGCTGCTAACCTTGCAGGTTTGAGTCCACCTAGAGGCGACTAGGAAGAAAAAACGGGGATCTACTTCCAAAAACTCGGCCGCTGCAGTTCCACTCAGACATACCGGGGATGCCACGCACCGGCCTCAACCTGATGGCACAACGGCTTTTTATACACGGTAAGTATTCTTGCCTCACCACATAATATAGCCTTATCTCTGTTCATGCCTCTGTATCAGTGGTTCTCAATGGAAGCTGAGCGTGGGGAGGGGAACGCTTCCCAGAAAACATCTGACAATGTCTGGGGACATTTTTGCTGGTCACTGGCAACTGCTGAGCACAGTAGAACACTGCCAAGCAACCTACAAAGCACAGCCCTCTACAGGAAAGAATTAATTGGCAGCAATTGCACAATACTGCTTGAACTATGAAATGGTATGACGTCTGGACTAGCTCCTGATGAAATTATTTGGGAGGGGAAAATAACAATCACAGAAATTGAAGGAGCAGTTCTACTCTGCCTCATAGGTTCACTGTGAGTCGGCATTGGCTTGGTGGCAGGGAGACCATGTAAGCTATGTGTAAGTCATAATAAAAATGTCAGTGAGACGTGACAGTAACTTCTTCATCTATGAAAACAATATAAAGTTGATTTATTACTCTTGATAAAATTCAGTCTCATTAAATTAACATAGTCCTACACTGAAGTACACCCTGGTTTTCTGTTTGAATAAAGATTATAAATAAATATACAATATATATAAATATTTATTATAAATAAAAAATACGCAGTAGATATATGTTTTAATTAAGTAAATGTATATAAGTTTTAAGATACAAGGCTTGAAAACAATAACTTTTTTCTTTTTAATAAATCATTGTATTGGGGGCTCTTACAGCTCTTATAACAATCCATACATCCATTGTATCAAGCACAATTGTACATCAAATTTTCAAAACATTTTCTTTCTACTTGAACCCTTGGTATCAGCTCCTCTCTTCTTCCCCCTCCAATACCAGTAACTTTTTAAACAAAACAGCTATGCAACCTTCAGGCAAAAACATTTTGTCAACTTCGAAGGCTACAGAAAAGGGTTCCAAGAACTTGGGCACAGGATTTGGCCCTAAATTAAAACCCTGGTTCCTGCACCCTTGCCTCTTGGAAAGCCATAGGCTATCCACGAAGCCAGGGTGGTCAGGACAACAGCATTGTAGAACGGACGACCTATGTGAAAAGTGTAAGACAGTAGTTGGTGTTTAGTGCACGACCAACCGTTCTCTTTCCCGCTTCCCCCAATAGTTTCAGACAAAGAGTGAAAATGAAAGGGAGAAAACCCTGCTTCTGCCACCCCTCACCACCGCAGCACGGGCACTTCCTACGGGCTTTGATCCGGGTCATTCGGGCCACTCATTTCCACCTGGTGCGCATCTGCCTTAGACCAGGAGAGCGGATGACAAGAATGGATGAAGAGTCTTTTCATTTTCTCTGATGCTAGAGTTTGACAATATAGCAATTCAATATGCAGGGCAGGAGGGGAAATAATAAGAATATATCATTGTAAAACCCCTTAACATAGCTAGATTTACTTTTAGGGCCACCATTTGCCTTAAAGGGTACATGACCTGTATGATTGAAGAAACAATGTGTACATAGCACTTGTCCCTTAACAAATTAATTAAACTTAAAAAAAAAAAAAGCTTGATTAAAAATGCTTGCCCAGACAGTTTGGACATTTTATAAAGCTCACTTCCTTTTCTTCGTTCCTTTTAATAACAGCTCCTTACTCGTCTCCTGCCAGGTTTTTCCTTTTCCCCTTTTTTTTTACTGGAAGGCCCATTGGCAAAGTTGTGAGGCAGTTGTACTAGTTAGTAGCTTTAGACTTGGCTGCAAAGCGTACACATGGGAAAAAAATCCAGACAGTCTGTTTCGGTTGTCTTTTATTTCCCCTAAAGCAGCATTTCCTTCAGTCTCATTGCATTTGCATTAAAGCCCTCATTTTTATCCGCATGTAAATAAGGGACAAAGACATGACTGCCGGCTGGCGGCACAGACCTCTGGTTCTCTCGGCATCAGGTGAGACGACTTCCCCTTGCTCCAAATAAAGGCCAGCGTGAAAACCAACCACCAGCCTGGAAGCCAGAAGACGGCTTGAACCTTCATGCGGCCACTCATTGTGCAACCTAGCACACGCCCTTTGAACTTTGGAAGGTGTAACAATAGCTGGCCCTGCTGTCTTCATAGACAACCAGCCACTCGAATAATTGAAATTTACATAGGTGTTAAAACACCTGATTTTGTCAATATTTTTAACCAAACGTATTTCCTTCACTTGCCTTTACAAAAGAGCTCTTGTTTGCTATCTATTTCTCCACGGTACTAAAAGAAGACTCCTTAGCTCACAAACATCTCCCGAGCCAATTCGTGGCATCCAGACACCAGTACTCCTTCTAACGTTGCCAGCAGTGTGTCTGGTTCTCTGTACCTTTCATAACATGAAGGGAGACAAGGTGATCGCTTCAAAACCGGACGTTTAAACAAGGCGGGATCCCAAGGAAATCAGGAAAACCATGAATCCCTAAATCAGAAAAGCCACTGAGAACTCTTATCTAGAAATTTCCCACAATAACACAAGTTAAAATTGACCAAATGCGTGCTCAGTGTGCTCAGTGACCTTTAGGGACTCCATATTAACAACAGAAGTCCCTCGCTGCAGAAAAGGCAGAAACGCGGTGTGCTAAGGCAGGGCACACTCCGTATGTCTTGCTAAAAATACTCTCATATCAGAACATCACCGCTAATCCACCAAAGAATCTGCCACCCGATTAATAACAAGAGGCATATTGTAGACATTTCTGTCCATCAACAATGCTAACAAATTGATTAAAATGCCAGAGGGACAAGGGCGAAACCCAATACCGCACAAAGGCTGAAATGAACTCACGGCAGTCTCTCTCGTCCACTCCGTCTGAGCAGTCTCTGACGTGGTCGCACCTGTATTCCTTCGGGATGCACTCACCGTCGGAACATGTTATCTGATGGCTCGAGCATGTGCTCCCAGCTGTGAGGGAGAAAAAACATGGCTTAATTTATATAAATTGTTGTCAGAGCCTCCAATAAAATGACTATCAAACACAGGTCCATACACTGGCATTTATTAAATATCAAAGAGGACATCTGAAAGCAAGGTCCCTGGAAGAGTGTGTTGAACATAAAATTATTAGGGCCACAAGATCAAGGAGTATCACCGGCACATGTGGAAAACGCAATAGAGACCGAAAAGCTTCTAAAGAGGACAGATGAAATAAGAATTTTGCAGCTATTGGTATTAATTCAAGGACCTGAAGATAAGTCCATCCCATAGAAATCCCAATTTACACAAAAATAAATTGTGTCAATTGTTCACAGTGGTTCCTCCCGAATGGTGAGATTATGAGTTTTCCTTAAATTTTCTCTTACATGAATTTTCTACATCAACTACCGCATGTCTATTTCATAAACAGGAAAAAGTTATTTTTAGCTAGCTTGAGCTTTATTGATATCGGTGGAAGCAAGCCCTCTGCAGTCTGTCGGGTTTGTCTTTGGATAAAGTGGATAAAACAAAATGAACGGATACCTGTGAAAATGAAGTGCAACTACTCTGTGAATTTGAGGCGGGAATGCCCTAGACTTGGTAGCGTTATCTTATGAGATTTTTCAATTGTCCACATAACAAGAGAATTTGGGGGAATGCGATCCTCTAAAGAGGAAATACATTGTCCCCTACATTTTAAAGAAAGGGGGGCATTCTTACACAGAACTTCTTACACTTCTATGTAATAAAGATTCTTCTATCCTGATTGTTCAAATTATACCAACTACCCTAAGGTTGTCCGTTCTCTCCCATGGGATCTTATGGATCCCCTATGATACGATATACCTTGAGGTCCATCATACCCTTGAATCACTACGGAGCCTGCAGAGATAGCTTGTTCTCCCACATGGATTACCTAGAAACAAGCATTTCTTACTGCTTCTTATTATGTCTGACTGGGTTATTCTTCCCCTGCCTCCGTACTTCTCAACTACAATCCCTTGACTCCTCTCTCAGATCTTGACCCCTCCCAATTGCAACTCCAACTCAAAGACGGACCCATAGCTGGGCCTTGTCCACGCTCCTGTTTGTCTTGATCGGTTTGTAGGCACGCCTTCCTTGGGACTGCCCTTTCGAGCCACTGCCCATCGCCCGGGCCCTACGTAGTTTAACCACCTTGCATTGATGGACCCTACCAGGATGTTTAATTATAGCCTTCAGTCTATATTTAAATTAAAGCCAAACTCGTGGGTATTTTTAAGAATTTCTACTATTTTCTTCAAAAGATCCTTGGAATCGAATGGTCCAACTGAAAAAGTTCACACTCCCTACTGGACTTGAAAGGCCGGGGCTAAATTCCAGTCTTCTATAACCATATTCAGAACCTGTTGAAGACCATGGGGTCTCCCAACACTACGTATTTAAAGACTTAACACATTCCCATATGAACTATCATTCAAAAACATATTTTCTTCTTTGATCTTTGAGGGTGAATGACTACCCAAAAATGCTCAGCAGGGTCTCGGCTGACATTTCAAAACTGACACAGAATGATTCCAAGTGTCCAAGATGTGTGAGATTTCATGACACAGAATGTGCGTGGGACATTCAAAGAGCAATGTCACGTAAGAATTACGAGTGAAGCAGCCTGTGGAGGCCACTTCCAGCCTGATGGCTCCCTCTCAACATCTAACTCAGTCCAACTTAGACTTTCTAAAAGTTGGATATGGTCAGATAAGGAACCATGGAAAAAGAACGCTGACATTCTCGCCTCTAGATACAGAAAGGTCGTGATGCAGGTGTAAAATCTGGGGCATCTACAGCTTTCATGTAACCATGAAAAGCCAACCGGCTAAAATGGGTAGAGCAGAAAAATGGACAGAAATTGGACGGTGTTCCTGTGATGAGCCAGGAACTAATCAGTCCTGGGGGAACTCCACCTTTACTCTCTTATTGCATGATAATAATTTCCTTCTTGTTTAAGCATTTTTTTAGCTGGTCTTGGTTCATTGTCATTAAAAACACCCACATGCGCATAAAAAATCGTTTTCAATTATACTGATAGCCTCAATAGAGACAGCAGTGGAAGGAACGACACACGTTATAGACATCTTTCTCACGGGCTATCACTTTACATTTCCCCAAGATTACCCGCAACCAAAATTACTGTCAACTCCATGAAAACAACTCTTTTATGGTTTGATCTTAAAGATATTCAAGTCTAAGGATTTCTTCCAGGTAACTGCATCTTTGTCCAGGCACACAGCAGTTGCCAAAGTTCGTCTTGTTGCTGTTGACAATCTTCCTTGTTGCAGCTCATTTGGTGGTAGCTGCAGCCGCAGCCACTGAAGTCGCCATAAACTATGCCTTTAACAGACCTACCTGCTCTCTCAGAGGGGTTTACACTTTGGGGGAGATTTGAATGCGAGGCGTACCAAACGAGCAGCAGATCTCATCCAACTGCCTCCAAGCCCATGAAGAACTCTGCCTGTACTGTTCTATTTCTTCCTTGTGTGCAACATAATCCCAATTAAAATACTGTGCACCTATCCTGTTTGGGAACAGCCAGGCTATATGAATGAGGGCACATTCTCATGTTCTATGTCCTCCAGCCCTCAATGAGACTGCTTGCATAGATTCCCTTGTCTTTTAAGGAGCAGCTCAGCACTTATCAACAATCATTGCACTGTGTTTTCTAATGGTGACCCATTAGATTTCATGTGTCCATTGAGACAAAACAAGATTCTTCTAGAAATGCTTACAACAGTGACGTTCATCTGAGCCATCTTCACAGTCCACTTCCTGGTCACACACCCAGTCCTGAGGGATGCATCTCCCTGTACTCTCACACTGGAACTGGCTTGACAGGCAAGCTGAAAAATAATAATAATACAGAAGAGGATTTTAAATAATTGTTTGGTCGGTTAAAAAGGAGGAAAACTAAAACTGAAGTGGACGTGGAGTCTTTAGAGACAGACAAGTTTATTTCAAACATATGCAAGAAAAGAAGAGAAGAAATAAAGACAAGGATTCATTGTGGCAAACATCCAGACCACTCTAAAGCTATCAACAATCAGTGTTTATTTTCAAACATAGATAATGAACTCTTGCCCAATATACTTTAAGGCAAACAGTAAACAGACCTCCCACTAACGCCTGTGGACTTTAATCAGAGTTCAGTCAAAAAATCTTGGCAGTGGTTTCACAACAAACCAGAAGATCTAAAGTACCATATTTTTAAAAAACAGCTAAAATACAAATTTATAACCAAAAAATTAAATTAGAACTTTTAAGGATAAATCAACCATATTTGAAAATTTTTATCATAGTTAAGAGTGAAGAATTAAGAATGATGAATCGGAAAACCCATCAGATTTGGAAAAGATCCATTTCCTATGACGCAACCTAAAATGTGGATATACCGATCGTATTTTCCCTTTGAATGTCACCAAGCTTAACAATGCATGCGCCTTGTTGATGTCAGCTGCTCTCCGTGCGATCTTTGTTACTGTTGTGCAACACTGAAATGCAACAGTCCTCCCTGTAGAGCTGTTGGTGAAAGCATCCATTTATTCCCTTATCCAAGCATACATTGTTTTTGTGGTTTTGCTCCAAATGTGTGACTTAAAATGATGAGTTCGGTACACCCCAGGCAGGCAAAGAGGTAGCACATGGTCATGAATCAACAAAAAGTGGTCCAATAGCATCACGTGGGAGCTGAGAAATAAGAAGCTTAGGCCTCACCTCAAACACCAAATCAAATCTGTTAAGATTTATCCCCCCGTTTTCATTCCTCCCATTTGGGGCTGGACTATTATTCCATGCCACATACCAAATTTTGACTGTTGTGTTGTGCCATAGAATGGCCAGCAATTCAAAAATGAATCCATTTTTCATCCTGATTTTTGGATGCTAGTCCTTGACCCTTCACCTATCAAAATGCAGGAAACTGCAGCAGCAACTCGGCCAAATTGGGGAGACTTTGGGGTTGGGTCTTGCTCATGTCTGCTCACCAACTCTGAGGTCTTTGGCAAATGGCCTAGCTTCTCCAAGTGTTTCTGAAACCCAACTCAGAGTATTGTTCAGAGAACTAAATGCAAATGCAAATGTGAAGATCATTTTATAATTAGGTAAATGTTGAGTCACTCTAGTACTGTGCTTTTTCACTCAATATTTGAAAACTGAAACCCACATGCACCACTCCTATGATCCTTTAATGATAATACATACAAATTATCCTGCATCTTTTAGATAAAAATAGATTTCTTCTTTAGTTAGAAATCACAATAGTTCCGATATCCTTTGTGTGTGTGTGTTCCTCTTGATGTACAGAATTTTTTTAGTAAATCAACAGAAATATTTGTTTATAGGCTTTGGATAACATTTTCTAAATGTGTTTCCATAACCAGGTCACGGTTAAGGAATAAAGGTTGTGAAAGGGGTGAGTGACCAAAAGACTTGGGCTCAGTCCTGGCCCCACTAGTAAAGGAAGACGCAGCTCTTTCTCTGCCACAGATAGAATGACTGTGAAGTTCTTAGCTATACGCAAAACAGAGAGTGGTTAGCTGGGTCCCTCCGCACTTAACGGCAGTCAGCTTCATCGAGCCATCGGTACAGTCTCTGGCCCCATCACGCACCCACACTGGAGGTATGCAGTGCCCATTTCTACAGTGAAAGAACCCACTGCCACATGCTGTAATACAACCAGCAATGGGAAGGCAGTTAAAGCTTTATGCCACACACACATATATATGTCACTGGAGAAGAAGGGCCATTTTGGGGGGAAACACACAAAACCATCCAACTAATCATAAAGGAATGGTAACTACTTAGCAAAGTAGCATGACAATTTTGTGAATGGCAAATGTTGTTTGGGGTCAGCAATGAGTTCATTATTACTCATAGTTAATAACAGCAGACAGTGACGTAAGGGTCTGAGACTCTAGGAAGGGAATTTGGCGCTATGGAACCTGCTGATGGTACTGTGTTGTTAGAGCTGCTGTCCTTTCGAGTTCCCCTCATACTGACGCCCATGTAGCAGAATAGAACGGCACCCCAGAAGGTTTTTCTTAGCTGTAAGCTTTACAGAAGCAGATTGCCAGTCCTTTCTCCCAAGGAAGCACTGGGCAGGTTCAAACTACCAACCTTTCAGTTAGCAACCGAGCACCAAACACCACTGTGCTACCAGTGCTTTAGGTATTCAATAATTTAGTCAAGTCTCTGTGTGAAGGAGAGAAATGTCCGTGGAGAAGAAGGCTCACGATTTGAGGGGCAGCTCTTGAACCCGTTGCGCCCTAGTGGCTTGTGAGAAGAGAAGTAGCTTTCTGCAGATGATGGGGGATCAGCGACTAGGCAGGATCCCAGATACAGGTAAGTCAGCTCAGCATTTTTATTTCTAGTTACTTTTTCTAAGATGACAATGATTTATGTAGGGTCTTAATATGTTTTTCATTACAATATTCATTATAAAAATGGAAATTGCAAACCCCTTCGTGAGAGGAGACCTAGTGGAGCCGCTGGCTAAGTGTTGAACTGCTAGTTGCATGGTTGGTGGTTCAAGCCCACCAGCCGATCATTGGGAGAAAGATGAGGCTAGCTGCTCCTCAGAAACCTTGTGGAATTGACTCATCGGTATTAGGTTTTAATTACACAATCATAGGAAAGTAATCTCATTTTGTTATGTTATGAACTGGGGAAACATGGTGACTTAGACCTAACTATTCTAGAGAAACATTTACAATTAAAGTAAATATACAAGATTTTACCTATAATAAGGCCCCATATGAAGGGGAAAAACAAACACTGATTACCAGGGATTGTCCCTAAATGACATCATGAGTAACTTTACTCATGACAATGTGGTTTTTTTCTTTCCCTACTTCTCTGCCCTATATTTTATGTGGCTTTTATTATTAAGTCGTGTATATCAAGCTATCAGTCCTTCATTCCTAGACAGACCAATATGGCTTTAAAATATATAAGAACTGATATGATGCCAGGTGTGTAGGTTCATCTCTACAAACAACAGAAAAAGAAGAAGAAATCCTGCTATCAGCCAGAATGCACAAACTTGGCACCAGAAGATGCCACATGCCCAAGTCTTCCTGGGGATACTGGAATATAATTTAAAACAAGTTCATTTCAGTCAACAAATATATTCAGTAATTCCACAGAGTATCCCTCAAAGACTAATTTGGTGGTTGGAAGTTCTCTGAGCTTCCCTTCGTACCTGGCCAGCGACTTCCAGGAACCATGTGCCAAAAAAAAGAATTTTGTTTTGTTTTGTTTTGTTTTTAAAAAGGAGAGCAGCCAACAGCAGCCCAACTTGGAGGAAACTCAAAATTATTGTTTCACAAACCCAGAGCCGAAGAGGGGTTAATTTTCCATGTTGGAAGAATAACTACATTTCCCCCATGTATTTAAGCAACCATTTAAGCTAAATTACTCATTTCAATTGAGGGCTAATTAACTCAAAAGAAGGTAAACATACAGATCAGTTGCCCACTCCTAAGATAAATAAACAATGTACGATTCCGACTGGGTTAAATGCAAGCATATCAACAGCATAAGATAAACATAGTTAAGTGATCTATTCATAGGGGATATAGGCTACTTTGTTCATGGAATGCTCAAATCTGATTGTCTGGTAGTGACATCCTGATTTATAATGTATGCTGCAAATGGTCAGAAACTTCCCTTGGCTAAATGGTGGTACCGAGTGGTACAGGAGTCCGTACACCCAAATACCTTCCATAGACTAATGCATGATGGTGGTTGGTGGTGCGGGTCTGGGGTTGGTGGTGCAGGTCTCTTATCAACTACCTTTAAAACACAACAACCTCCCTTGCAAAAATGCCCCTAAGGAATGTACAAATTCACTCAGGAATCCCAGAACTTCTCATTGGATTTTGTTCTCCACAGCAATATTTCCACAGGAGATTAGGGGCTTTGGCGGTTTAGCTATGACTACAACGTATACTAAATCATGTTTATCAATTAAGTCTTTTGTGAGTAATCCAGTGTAATACATTTGTAAATTAAGCACATATGTCTCCCTTGGTATCTGATGAATTCTGATTGGAAAATTATAACAATTCACAAATAGTTTCATATTGTTCTGGGAAAAAGAAAAGCCTAATTTTCGAGTGTGCAGAAGAAAATTCTCAGAATATAGTGTCTGTCTTTAATATAATGAATGATATTTCTTCTGCAAGTTTATGACAAGTTAAATTTTAAGGTGGTGCATTTATTTTCTGCTAAAATCGGAGTCAAACTTCTCAACGGGGAGGGAGGGACAGATAAAACAAAACACCCAAAAATCATTTTTTTTAAAAGACACTTTGTAGTCAACTATTGAAGTTCTCTCTCACACACACAATTTTGCAAGTAAATAACTCTTAATAATTAATTTTAATTAATAATAATTAAATTTTTTGCAATTGATCTCCCAGATCACTGTTATCAAAATTAATATATTAAACCCATTTATTCCTTTATTTCCCCTACAGATCTACCATAATTCATTTGTCAAATGTGCCTTTTCAATAGTAACTTCCATGCCTGTTATAAGTCCAGAATGATGAATGTTTGGAAATCTCTCTCCAGAAAAAACAAACGGATGTACTATCATTGTTGGGTGGCCTCTTAGCAATCAGCCACCGTGCTCCTCTGCTGTCCGAAGCCTGTCATTCATTCCTTGAGTTTAAAACCAAACAGCTGGTGGAAAGGCCTGCAGGTGCCTTCATTCATGTGATCTACATGCACTTTATGTCTTATGTTAATTAAGTAGCATACTCACCACCTCTCCAAACATAACTAGACTTTATCTGCTCTTTATTGTTCAGTAATGTGAAGAGGGGGAAAAGTGGCAGGG